CGGCTGCAACTTCGGCATCGTCACCGAGTTTGTCTTTCGACTTCATCCTCAGCGCCGCACAGTATTCGGCGGTGCCGTGATGTTCTCCCCGGACAAATTAGAGGCCATTGCCCAGCTTATCGAGAAATGGTACCCTACCGCCGGAGAGAAGGAGGGTGTGCATGTTATGTTGGGGCGTGGATCTGGTGGTGATGTAAGACCATGACAGCTTGCGGCCGTGCGTTCTCTGCTGAGATACTATGTGCATCGCTAGCCGAACATCATGCTCCTCATGTTTTATAATGGGTCGGAAGCTGAAGGACGGGAGAATTTCAAGGCATTCACGGATCTAGGTGAGCCGGTAATTACTCTGCGCTGAAAAAATGAATAATCTGGATGTGATGACGAAGGGCCCGTTATGGACATCCGTCGGGAGATGCCCTATGAAGCATTTAATTCGCTCATGGTGAGAGCTTATCTACGCGACGTATATCGATCATTAACGCGATTGATGCTTTCTGAAAGGATCAATGGGTGGCTCCTGGCAAATGCCATTGGTTCCGAAGCGTTCTCGTCGACCACGCCACGAAGGTTCTGACTCGCGAGACCTTTGACGTAGTCATGGAGCTTTCCAATCCAGAGAAACCACTCAACCATGCATCCCTCACCTTCGAGTACATGCCTCAGGCCAAGATCAACGGTGTCCCAAGCGACGAGACCGCCTACTCCCGTAATCGACCTGGTCTTGGCAATGGCCTCGCGCATGTCATATGGGATGAGGATAAACCAGAGCTCTTGGAAGAGGCGAAGCAGATTGTCCAGCAGATGACTGTGTTGCTCAAGACGAGCGGACCGCAATATGGCAACTACAGTGCGTACTCATTCTGTGGATTCTTTAATTCTCCGTCGTCTGAATATACCACCAGATGCGGACACCGAAGCCCCTCTGCCGACTGCAGAAGCCAGATCCATCAGAGCTCAAGCGCTATATGGGGATAATTACCCTAGATTACAGCAAATCAAGCGTATATTCGATCCTAACATGATTTTCGACAAGTGGTTTCCGATCCAACCTTCCCTTGAGTAAGTTGTCGTGCTTCGGCTGCGTAGGTGCACATTGAGATAGTATAGCACCCTATGCCGTGCGATGCACGCACAATATGTATATCGGAAAGAGAAATCTACTCAATACGTGTGTTTAATATATATATATATATTTGCTGTGCACTTGTATTGCTCTCTCTTTGCGTGCGCTTCGTCCGTCAAGCAGCTCGCGCCCAGCCTGATAAGGTGTCCCCGAATACTTAACCCATGATGAATATATTAAGGTTTTCATAATATGACGGAAAATTGTGCCATAATATTTGGCCAAAGGGGGCTGGCGAGATCGAGCTGCCCAGGGTCGACCACGGGAGAGAGAAGAGAGGAAAGCCTACACATTATCCGCACACCTTCCAGAGTTTCTCACTCGTGAAGGGACAGTGGAGCATCGCCGGGCGAGCAGCGCGCCCTCCCACATCATAAACCGGGGAGCGATAAGGAAATCGCACACATGCGCATGTAACGCAGGGACAGCAGTAAATCATGCAGATAACGAATTTATGTGTTTCTCTGGAGTTCTCAGCAACTTTAGTATCTTGTGCGAGATACAGTAGCCTGAGATAGATCAAAATTATATTCAGAGAGCCGTTGTACTGTCCGATAAACAGATTACAGCTTAATTATATATTAGAAGCATTGCACAAACGCTATTGGATGCGATAGATAGAGGAGAAATTGCGGAATGTTGGGCGCGAGGCAGACTCTTCGGGTTAGGGTCTCTTAGGTTCGGGCGTCTGCTTAGGCCACCAATAATAGACGCCCACAGTTTGGCGCATGCAAGTGACGACTCGGTTTGGCCGCACTCGTCGTCCGACGAAGCTACCGAGACTCGACTCCGAGGTCGAAGTCCGAGGACTCGAGAGGTCTATGTGTGGTATGTGGTGAGTGCGCTGTGGCTTGTAATGTTCAGCAGTGTATCATGGGGGCTCTGCTGTGTGTGAGGGCTCGTAGATGGAAGCTGGATTTGAGTTCACGGACATGCCAAAACACGTCAGGTGGCGTCCGTTCTTTCTATGTGACAAATTGCTTAGACTCTCAGACTGCACACCTGGACCCGCGCGTCCATTGCGAATCAGCACGAGGGGTGCGGCGCGTTCAGCGGGAGACGACGTTATACAATGCTCTCCTCAGTGCGCCTCGAGCTAACCAGTGATAATGCGCGGGGATCCTGGATATCAATCACAGAGGCTGTACTCGAATCATACCGCGCTCAAGGGTGCGGTTCTAGGACATGAAGCGATTTTCGAAGATCCATCTCCTTCGTTAGCTGGTGACATGTGTCTATCTGCTTGGCTCCGTTATCGGTACTCCTCAAGAGAGGAATACAAAAGGCGGAGCAGCGACCTGCTCCTTCTCGTATTAATCAACAATGTCCGACTTGGCTCCATTCAAGGGAGACATCGTCGCTCCTGGGGACGAGGACTACGAGCGTGCAATCACACGATGGGCAGCCAATGCCACCCGCCGTGCGCGCATCGTCGCGTACGTTCGCGACGCCGAGGATATTGCGACGGCCCTCCGGTACGCGCAGGTAGACGGACTCAAGATAGCCATTCACGGCGGCGGTCATAGCCCCAACGGCGCATCGTCCGTCGAAGACGGGCTTGTCATTGACCTCAGTCGCTACTTGAATAGTGTTAGGGTCGATCCAGAGGCTCGTCTCGCGTATGTCGGGGGTGGGGCGAAGTGGGCCGATGTGGACAAGGCCACCATGGCACACGGCCTTGCCATGACAGGCGGAATAGTCAGTCATGTAAGTTAATTAGCACTCATCACATGTGTTCTCCCCCTCACAATGGCTTCCAGACGGGCGTTGGCGGGTAAGAAGCTCTCAATTCTGGGAATGGATATTATGCTAAGATAATCCTAGACTTACTCTCGGAGGTGGCTATGGCTGGCTCGCCCCAATGCATGGTCTCACTATAGACCACCTGGTCTCTGCGAACATCGTGTCGGCGGATGGTGTCGTCCGCATTGCTAGCAAGACCGAGAATCCCGACTTGTTCTGGGGCATTCGCGGAGGCGGCTGCAACTTCGGCATCGTCACCGAGTTTGTCTTTCGACTTCATCCTCAGCGCCGCACAGTATTCGGCGGTGCCGTGATGTTCTCCCCGGACAAATTAGAGGCCATTGCCCAGCTTATCGAGAAATGGTACCCTACCGCCGGAGAGAAGGAGGGTGTGCATGTTATGTTGGGGCGTGGATCTGGTGGTGATGTAAGACCATGACAGCTTGCGGCCGTGCGTTCTCTGCTGAGATACTATGTGCATCGCTAGCCGAACATCATGCTCCTCATGTTTTATAATGGGTCGGAAGCTGAAGGACGGGAGAATTTCAAGGCATTCACGGATCTAGGTGAGCCGGTAATTACTCTGCGCTGAAAAAATGAATAATCTGGATGTGATGACGAAGGGCCCGTTATGGACATCCGTCGGGAGATGCCCTATGAAGCATTTAATTCGCTCATGGTGAGAGCTTATCTACGCGACGTATATCGATCATTAACGCGATTGATGCTTTCTGAAAGGATCAATGGGTGGCTCCTGGCAAATGCCATTGGTTCCGAAGCGTTCTCGTCGACCACGCCACGAAGGTTCTGACTCGCGAGACCTTTGACGTAGTCATGGAGCTTTCCAATCCAGAGAAACCACTCAACCATGCATCCCTCACCTTCGAGTACATGCCTCAGGCCAAGATCAACGGTGTCCCAAGCGACGAGACCGCCTACTCCCGTAATCGACCTGGTCTTGGCAATGGCCTCGCGCATGTCATATGGGATGAG